CACTTAGCTGGAAAAACCCCAAGCTCCCACCAGTTCTTCAGAGCCAACAGGCAGTGGAAGCAAAAAGGAATTTCTGCTGTGGCTCAGTGTTATTTGAGCATGTTGAGAAGTGCAGTCATCACCTTCCTAAAGGAAAATGGTACTACCTGACACAGCATTCACTTTTGCAAATAAAATGCTCCTTACACAGTAGTAAGGACTATTGATTTTATTGTTTCTATTGTGGGGAAGAAAAGAAGAAAAAGAAGAAAGCAGATGGTTAGTGATATTTTCCAAAGTATCTGGGCAGGAGTCAGTACAAGTTAGGTGTAAAAATCTGGCTAGGCATAAACAAATATATACTCTAGAAACCTGACCTGTCATCCCAGCTCTGCTGAAGTTTTGACACTTTCAGAATAGAATGATTTCCTCAATTCTATAAAAGGCATTTTTAAAGTTAAGTCCACTTTCCCAACTTTTGTGGTTGCAAAAGTTAGGACTTTTTGTGGCAATTGCATTTAAAGCCTCTCCCAAAACCCTTTCCCAAGACACCATTATCACTCCTGTTCCCTCAGCTTGGAAGCAAAGACTTTAGCAGAGTGTCTACATGAGGAGGGGAAAGAAATATCTGTTTCACTGGTACTCAAAAGGAACATGAAATAAAAACATAGATAAAGCAAGGAATATGCATAAACCCTAAGTCACTATAGGTCAACATCTCTGACACAATCAAGAGATTAAAGCTCCACACATTTTTTTCATGTATTAAGCAAATAGTAGAAATATTTGCCATTTTTCTGGAAACAAGTTTGCGGTGGGACTCAAGTGTAAACTCAGCCTTTAGCATGTCTTTTTTTTTTTCCTACTTGAATGCATTTAGTGGTCCATGAGAATAAAGACAAGCTTCAAGTTTTCCTATTGCTTCCTGAACTCCTGTGAACACATGCCACGGCCCAGGTGGCTGCTACCTCACTGACAAAGCAATGTTAATAAGCAAAGTAAGGCTACAGAGTGCTCCGGGTGTGCACATCTGGGTCTGCAGAGACCTGCAGACTGTGCAAGCACTGCAGAGAGAGAGAGCTCAGAAAGAGCTCACCAAACCAAGTTTGGATTCTCTGATTGGTATTTCAGACAAGTCAGTAAAAGTATTTAGCCCCAGAGTGGTACTTTAAATTTTGCTCCATTTCTACAGTTTATAGCAGGAATCACATTCATTTTATGCACTACAGCATCATAGAAATTCACGTATGGAGCCTCTTTTTACCACTTAGTTAAAAAACCTCTCTAGCCAAGTAGAGAGTTTACACCCTGAACTGGTCTGTAAAGGCTCAGGTGTGATCACCTCAGACACAGGCAGTGGTAGGAACAAGGAGCTACACTAGTTACCTAGGAGACATTATTTTCACATCTGGTGAAGCTTGGCACAGAGTCACAATTCAATGTCAGGTACAGCTCTATAGCTCTACAGTTTTGCTGTTTCTGAAACTATGCAAGGTACATCAGGTTTGTATCAAACACTGTATTTGCCAAAGGATGAAAAAGAGGAAAAGGGCAATGTTTTCCTAAAGGTTAGCCCCTTTCAGATATGGCCAAGTTTAAATATCAAGCAATTTAAATACACCAAGTCATTTGTGCCTAAAAGTAATTCAAGCAGGTGCAGGTGGAGATGAAGGTGAACATCTCAGCATGATGAAATCCTGATGCACATTGAAATAAGGTAAACTGTAACAACCACATCATTAACCTAATTGTGGCAGCTGTGCTGTCCTACAGGCCAGAGCCACACAGCTCTAGAGAACACGAACACCAAGGAAGTTTGTCAGCATGGAACTCAGACACAAGACATTTAAGACCACAGTTTGATGATTCCAGTTCTAAGAAAAAAAATATTTATCAAAGCAAAATGTCTTAAAGTACAGAGTGAGGAAAGATCTGCAAAGGCTTCAAGACTCCCTACACAGGCCATCATTTGTCTGGGTGTGGTTTCCCAGCTGTAGCAGGAGGGGTGGTGCAACCATTCCTTTGCCCTAAGTCCTGTCTCCCACTCTTCACCTTGCCCTAGCATCAGCACCCCACAGCTGGACTATCAATTTACCCAGCTGAAAAGAACAGTTTTTTCCTTTCTCCTAACTGCAGAGCCACTTAAGGAGAAGTACTGGCACAACAAAGGCAGTAGGGACAAACTTCCAGCAACAGTTTAGTCTTTACACAAGTTGATCATAAAACTGTATCTTTAGTACATAAAAATGCAATAGGAAGTCTATCCTCTCCCAGTGCAGCAAATTAAGATGGGATTCTTACCAAGGAATTGATTGAAGTGAACATTGATCCCTAACCTTGTTAAATCACCTTACGTTTCCAATTCTTGCACTGAGCGAAATGGCTCAGACATCAACCTATATAGCTGGGACAGCACCAGCTTTGCCATAAATAATGGACATTGAAGTCAGTTTATTACAAGTAAATGTTGAAACAATCAGCTTTGGCACCTGCATGAACTCTCAAGGTAAGTGCTACCATCACTCAGTATTCATCACTGCTATGACACAACCTACGACTGCTGAGATTCAGTGCAGTCTGTGACAGATGAAACTTCTCTCTCCAATTCTGACTTTTGCTCAGAGTTTAAAATGAATGCTGGCTGTGCATCAAGGGCTTGGTGGTGCTGCTCCCTGGCCAGGTGAGAGCACACCCAGCTGGAAGGCTCTGGATTCATAGCTCATGCAGGACCTGCTGATTTCTGCCCCACCGCGTGCATGTAATGGGACTATTGATACAATGGATTTACAAAGCCTTGCAAATCTAGGACCCTCCTTAATGGCATTGCATCATCCAACACATTTTAGAAGCCTCTGTCTTGAACATATTTCAATGCTGAATTAGTGAGAATTATTTGAAACAGTTGTCTATAGAGCAGTACAGGTTTTCTCCCAGAACGATCAGCGAAACATTTAATCTGACTCTAACAAAACTCACAGAAACCAAAGCCAGTGAAGCTGTCAAATGTAGGAGGAAAACAAAGTCGCATGGCATACGAAGCAAAGTAGCTTTACAAATGTCATTTCCTTTTAAAAACAAGCAAATTGGGACCATGCTATTTGAACATGTATTTAAAAATACATCTTTTAACATCACACAATTTTCCTTTTTTTTTTTTTTTTGTTTTTTGTTTTTGTCACACAGGAATCTTTCTCCAAGAGGGAAATAAATAGCACACAATACTTCAAAATAAAAATTGCTGCCTTGCCCCTGAGGTGCTAATGTTTTTAGCATTTAAAAAAAAGTTTCTGGTGCAAGAAGGAGATGCACAAAGGTGCAAAAGTGCCTTTTCTTTTTTTCTTTTCAGAGCAGTGAAAAGTACAGCTTGCCTCTTTTCTAGGATGCTTTAGGTACTTAACTCGTATAGTCTGTCATCAAAATCTGTATCTAAAATGGCAGTGTTGATGCATACACAATAATTCAGTGCTCTGACCTCATCGAAACGCTGAGCGTAGGTGGGAGAGAGAAAGGCCTGAAATGGCCTTTCTTCCACTCCCCTCCAACCTACCTACATCGCCTGTAGCAACAGCAGAATTAGTCTCTCTCTACCCTTTAGGAGACCTCAGCAGAAGAGGCTTCACAACATCTCCTTGGTCGCTGAGACGGTTTAAGTGACTATGGTTCGAAGTATGGCTTTTCACACCACAGTTTTGCTTCAGACTCTTAAAAGTTTAAAACTCAAAGGTTCCACAGTCCAGTTCAAGGTTTTGCAGTTTCCAAAACTAAACTTTATAGTCTCTATGAGAAAAGGACAGAACTTTCTATCTGCCTAGTCCTAAGTTAAGTTTAGCTTTTCGCACTAACACGCCATGTATCGTTAAATATGCTTCTTAATTAGGTGCCTGTGAAGCTATAACTTAACATTATTATAGGTTTGCACTCTACAACAAAATTAGACATTTTAAGCATTTATTCATAGGTAGGTAAGGAACTGGTTCTTTAAGCAAAAATTGCTATAAATTTATAAATACAAATAGTGCTTATGTTTTCTTCATTCATGCTTGAACAGATTACAAACTGAATACAATGAAGTTACGGTTAAGCACCCCACATAGACAAGAGGGATAAAAGAAAAGTTTGCTGGTATATACTATACTTAGTTCCAAGACACTATAAGTTACTTTTTCACTGTTCAGTGTTCCCTAACTCTGCATTAGTTTTAAGGCTATATATACAAATATGTATATGTCAAAGTTAGGGAA